GGAGGGGAGGGGAGTAGAGTAGAGTAGAGTAGAGTAGAGTAGAGTAGAGTAGAGTAGAGTAGAGTAGAGTAGAGTAGAGTAGAATAGAATAGAATAGAATAGAATAGAATAGAATAGAATATGAAAGCATAGAATAGCATAGGAAAGGATAGAATAGAATAGAATAGAATAGGAAAGGATAGAATAGAATAGAATATTAGAACAGAACAGAACAGAATAGAATAGAATATTAGAATAGAATAGAATATTAGAATAGAATAGAATAGAATAGAATAGAATAGAATAGAAGCTGGAAGGGACATCGGAGGTCTTCTAGTCCAGCCCACTGTTCAAGCAGGAGAACCTATACCATCTCAGACAAGTGACTGTCCAGTCTCTTCTTAAAAACCACCAGTGATGGAGCAGCCACTGTTTCTAGTGGCAAGCTGTTCCACTGTCCTTCCTGTTAGGAAGTTTCTCCTTAATTCCAGGTTGCTTCCCTCCTTGATTAGTTTCCAGCCATTGTTTCTTGTCCTGCCTTGGGGGTGCTTTCGAGAACAGGCTGACCCCCCTCTTCTTTGTGGCAACACCTCAAACATTGGGACACTTCTATCATGTCACCCCTAATTCTTCTTTTCTCTAATCTAGCCAGACCCAAAACCTGCAGCCGTTCTTCATATGGTTTAGTCTCTAGGGCTTTGATCATCTTAGTTGCTCTTCCAAAGTCTCAACATCTTGATGCTATGATATAGTATGGTGACCAAAATTGATTGCAGTTATTCCAGGTGTGGCCTTACTAGAGTTTTATAAAGTGGTACAAGTCCTTCACGTGACCTTGATTCTGTCCCTCTGTTTATACGACCCAGGGATGGATTCTTAGCCTCTCTTCTTGGTCTTCCTTTCCAGGGGATTGGGGTCCTCACCTTGTCGTTGTCCGAAGTTGTAACATTCTGAAGTGGGAGCTGGAGCTGAAACGTTGGTGCCCGGGCCTAAAAATCATGCTCTACATCGGTACCCAGCGAGAACTAAGAATGAAAAGACAGGTAGGTTGTATTATTAGTTCAAATCCATTGTGGGTGGGGCAGAGGCGGGATTCAGCCGGTTCTGACCAGTTCTGGAGAAACGGTAGCGGGAATTTTGAGTAGATCGGAGGACCGGCCAATCCCATCTCTTCTCCGCCTCCCGTTGAGTCCCAGGCAGCGTGGGGCTTGGGGCGGGCTTTCTTAAGCTATGGTTCGCCAAAAGAATTTTGATTGACTGAGTTTCTACAGTCATGGCTTGAGTTATCCTAAGCCACATTTGGGTTTTCTTAAGTCGTGGTTTGTGAAGAGCATGGAAGTTAACTTGTTCTTCAGAAAGAAATGTTTAGGTAGATGCCAAAAGTTTTCCGGGAATGTTGTCACTCTCATGAAAGAAAACAACAGTTTTGCAACAGTTTTTAAAATCCACAAGTTAATACAGGTGTCAATTCCAGGTTCTAAATTTTTGTCTTCCTTCCTTCCTTCCTTCCTTTCCCTCCTTTCCTCCCTATTGTCC